ATTTTTATTCCATGTCTGCATGACACACGAGACCTACTAAATTTATGAAGATTAATTATTCCAGAGTCAGGGTAAAAAAACAAAGAACCATTTATCAGTGTATATAGTCATCATCTCAGTCCAGAGATTCTTTATCACTTTAATTAACAGTAAAGAAGTAATAGCTCATAAATACTAGAAAAGGTCACTCCTGACATTGGTTCTGGGAAATAGTTGAGCAGGGATTAATTAGTTATTTTCATCTTTCTTTGCATGCATCTGCTTTCTCAGCACTTTTACATTTGAGGATAATGAGGAAAGTTGGAACAAGCCAAATCAAGGAAAAAAGATACCCAGTCAAATCTCTTCTCTACCAGAAAGTTACCAATTTTCTTGTCTCCTAGAATAATGCTTCCATGTTCACAATTTAGCAGTTTTACCGCTAGGTTGATGAAGTGACCTGGAAAGTTTATGAGCAAAATTATTATTTATTTATTGGTTCGATTTATATACCGCCCGTCTCCAGAGACTCAGGGCAGCTTACAATGCGTTAAGCAATAGCCTTCATACTTTTGTATATACCTGCTTAGTAGGGCTTTCGCCCCCGCCCCCCCAAGCGGTGTTCTTTTTTATACAAAGTCAGTTTATTGCCCCCACAATCCGGGTCCTCATTTTACCTACCTCGAAAGGATGGAAGGCTAAGTCAACCTTGAGCCTGGTGAGATTTGAACTTGCAGTAATTGCAGGCAGCTGGTGCTATTTAACAGCACTTTAGTCTGCTGCGCCACCAAGGCTCTTGGTATTACTGTCTACTGAGCAATTTTTGCAGACATCTCACAGCCCAAAGCTGATAATATTAACATAAAATGAATAGATTTCAAAAAAAAAAATTGTAAATCTAGCCAAGTGATTATAGCAAATCCTAAGCAGAGCTTTCATATCAATCTTTTTGACTTAGTAAAACATCTAGAATTTTGAGAAGTTATTAAGGACACTGTTACCCAATGAACGCTGCAAGAGGAAATAACATTTTGAATCATAAAAAATCTGCTGTGATGGATAGAGTCATAAAACACCAATGTCAAATAAAAACTAAAGAAGCGAGTATATGACAGTGTTGACACCTTAACTCCAAAATACATATTCTGTTTCAGATTAACCCCAACATAGAAGCCTACAAACCAGAGATGGATTTCAGCAGGTTCTGACCAGTTCTGGAGAAGTAGCGGAAATTTTGAGTAGTTCGGAGAACTGGTAAATACCACCTCTGACTGGCCCTGCCCCCATCTATTGTCTGCCTCCCGAGTCCCAGTTGATCGGCAGGAAATGGGGATTTTGCATAACCTTCCCCTGCAGTGGGGAAGGAATGGAGATTTTACAGTAGCCTTCCCCTGCCACGCCCGCCAAGCCACACCCACCAAGCCAAGCCATGCCCACCAGGCCACACCCACAGAATCAGTAGTAAAAAATTTTTAAACCCACCACTGCTACAAACCTAATTCCCAGAATGTAAAAAAATAAGTGCCTTAGTCACTTATTGTTTTTTCAGTCAGGATTGATTGCCCACAAACACACTTTTCTTCTGGACCTTTCTTTTCAAAATAATGTGAACAAGTCACATTTATTGACCTGCTTTCCCAAATTCCTGAAATGTCGGCCATAGACCTTCCTCATTGCTTTCATGCTAGTTTATGCAAGATGTTGGTTACCACCTTTAAAGCGCTCCATGGCACAGGACCCGGATACCTTCGAGACCGTCTTCTGCCACCAATAGCCTCCCACCGACCAGTCCGTTCCCACAGAGAGGGTCTCCTCAGGGTGCCATCAGCCAAGTTATGTCGGCTGGCGACACCCAGGGGGAGGGCCTTCTCTGTGGGAGCCCCAACCCTGTGGAATGAACTGCCCCCGGATATACGTAAGATCTCCGACCTCCGGGTGTTCCGCTGCGCACTGAAGACCCTGTTGTTCCGCCAGGCAGGGCTGTCAATATAATAATTTTAAATTGGGGTATCTTAATTGTTGGGGTTTTAAATCGGCCAAATCTATTTAATTATTTTAATCTTTAATTATTGTTGTGTCTTGTGTTTTTAAATTGGCTGTACACCGCCCTGAGTCCTTCGGGAGAAGGGCGGTATAGAAATAAAATTATTATTATTATTATTATTATTATTATTATTATTATTATTATTATTATATTATATTATTATTATTTTACTATTATTATTATGCGTACATCACTATCTCAGCCCTATCTTCACTTTTTTCTCTTTCACTTCATGGACCACACCCAGAAGACTTGCTAGTCCCACAAAGGTTCTACTTCCAGTAACTAGATGTTATTTGGTTTTTCAGGTCTACGCTTTTGAAGAAGCATGGCATTCATAGAACTAATCAGATCTGGCCTATCCAGAGAACAGCTGAAGTGCCTTGGAATTCTCTGCAGGAATTGGCATTTGTTACCGATAACATTCCTCAGTAATAATCAAGGACACCTTGAATATTTAGAACTATACTCTCAGATGCTCCATGGTTTAGAAAAGCTAAAGATAATTGTGAATTGCATAGTAGACAAGGAATATTAGATTTAAGCTCTCTATCTATGAAGTTTCCTGGATATCCTTACTTTTTAAATTTAAAAATATTAGAAATAAGAAGGATTTGAGAATTTAAGCAAAATTCAATAATTTTTCATTTGAAAACAGTGACTTTGAAAAGAGCAGAAAAGAATACTATTGTGGTTGAAATGTTCAAAAGCCCTAATCAGGTGTGAAAAACCAGGTCCTCATTGCTTGTAGCTACGTACTAGGGTTCTAGGCTGATCCCCCTTTTAAATCTGCCCACAGATTCTGCCACTCCTTTTCCAACATAATGCTCCACAATATCTAATATGCTGGTAGCTTCTGGAATGATAGAAAGGAATGACAACCTCTTCAATTATTCTATCTTTAAAAAAGTTATTTCAGTTCCATTCTTTTCAACCATCATCTCATTAAACTTCAAAACCAAAATTAAACTATGAAAAAAATAAAAATAGGAAGCAAAATATCAAGACAGTTTACTGTAATATAATTGTACTGCATTGAATTCAAACACCTAAAAGAATGTGAAGTGAACATAATTGTGATCTATCAATGTAAAAACTACTGCATGTGTGAAAGGTAACATTTGCACATGCTTCAAAAATGATTCAGAGAAGTGCTTTGGAAGATACAAGAGCACAAATTCATTCTGTTTTTCAAAACTTACAGTGTCTCGATAGGTAGAATGATATACACATCCTACAGAATGGAAGTACACTGTCATAATTTTATTTTTCTCCAGACATGCAGCCTTCCAGCAAGGAACTGCCATGGTAACAGTCAGCAGAACAAGGTTATATTGATATTTTTCTCATTTCCAATGCATATGGCTGCTTGCCAGGTCAGCACTACCACTAATTTAATTCACAGTAATGAAACTGTACGTCTAGGAGTAGCAGAGGGCATTCAATATTCAACGTATTTACAATTCGCACATATAGATTCAGGTGCAGACAGAGATTTGGAACTAAACGTTTCTTCCACAAAAGTTAAGGACTTTTGAAGAGCCCAATAAATTTTCTTGTTCTCTTTTTTAGGGAGATAATACAGTATACAATTAGGGACAGTGATGATTCTGATTGTCTCTGCCATTGGCAAGCAACAGAATAGGACTTCAGAGTAATTTATGGCTCCAGAGGTTGGGGGGAAGTCCACTTTATTTCTCCCTCATATCTGAGTGCCGTCTGGAAACAACAGTACCTAGAATGACTTTGTTGGATACACTGCCTTAATTTCAGGACTCATCTGAAATTATAAACTTCATGATTTTCAATGTCTAGCCCAGTTTTTAAAATGTTCTCCTTGTTCCCCATTTTTAAGTAGCAAAAATGAGGAGAGTTCCAAAACTTTCAACACCTTCACAATTTTTGTGTTATAATAGTCTTAATAAAGGTAATCATCTGGATATGATTTGGCTTGGATTTGGTTTATCTGTTGCACTCTCTCCTAGCCAGAAGATACTAGTTGTGGTTAGTAAGCCAAGATTGGTTTGAATTTAAATAATAGTGTATACCTGTGATGGCGAACCTATAGCATGATTGCCACAGGTGGCATGCATAGCCATATCAGTGGGCATGCGAGCTCAGCTCCGGATGCGCCAGCTGATTTTCAAGCCTTCTGGGCCCACCAGAAGTAGAGAAACAAGTTGTTTGCTGCCTCCGGAGGGCCTCGGGGGGTAGGGAAGGCCCGTTTTTCTCTCTCACCTGGCTCCAGAGCCTCTCTAGGAGTCTGGGGAGGGCGAAAACGGCCTTCCCCATCCTGGGGGGGGGGGGGGGGGGGAAGGTCGTTTTCGCCCTCCCCAGATTTCTAGAGAGGCTCTGGAGGCTGGGAACAGCAAAAAACAGGCCTTCCGGTCCCACCGGAAGTTGGCAAACAGGCCGTTTCTGGCCTCTGGAGGGGTGGGGCGAAGGACATTTTCGCCCTCCCCAGACTCCTAGAGAGGCTCTGGACCCAGGTGAGAGAGATAAACGGGCTTACCGGGCCATCGCGTGCCAGGAGTGAGGGGGGGCGCACGCGCATGGCGCATAGAATTATGGGTATGGTCATGCGCATGAGCCCCCCGCCCCCTCCCTCCTGGCACGCGATGGCAAAAAGGTTAGCCATCACTGGTGTAAACAATTATTCTGTTAGCAAAAGGCACTTAGCTTTGTCTGTTGTGATCAACATGCATAAAGTTCTGCCTTGTAACTGTACCTACAGACTTTCAACTAAAGGAAGATTACCTTTTACATGAATAAAAAATAATACCAATGATGTCCTGCAGATCCAGGTTTACAATAGTAAAGAATAATCCAACTGTGTCACAAGCACAAGAGCTAGCTTTGTACTGTGGCATAAAATAATTCAATTAAGAGTCACAATCGACTCCAGAATGGCAGAGCTGAGTCAGATAGGAAGCCTGTCCTGTGAACAAGCGAATATTGACGTCTGTAAAACACTAACCTTCATCACTTCTACCTGCAGGTCCTCATTGAGAGATGGAGTCACTCTGATTGCGTTCAGCATTTGATTAAGCAACTGCTTGTCATCAGAGTCAGTTTCCATGGATACAAATCGCTCATCAGACAGTAGCTTCTGCAAAGAAAAAATGGAACTATTTAATTCCATTTGGTTCTCCCATAATGTTGTTATAAAAATAATATTTACTAGCAAATTACCTTGCTTTCCAAACCATATAACAGGGAGCAAACTTTGGTGGAATAGTAAAATCTATTTAACGCATGCAATGCCTATCACAAGATGCAATAAGCCTCACAATTCCTAAAGGAAGTGTGAAGAGGAAAGGCCTTTATATTTCAGATAAAGCAAATAAAATCAGAAGATGAGTTCTAGCTTGGAGATGGGGAGATATTTTCACGATCATACAAACTAGAAGACTCAACCTTGCTAACAAGAATTAAGGATAAGTTAGTTTGCTAACCAACTGATAGAAAAATGGCAAATCTTAAACGCAAGTGCAGCATTTAATTTTGCCCTTGGAATGTACACCAATCCACTCATTCAATACTGGTCAGACTTGCATTCTGAACTTTTCTCAAAAAAGATGAATTGCTAAGTTTCTCCTCTCTTTCATCCATTCAGAGGTAGGGCTTTTTTCATCTTAAAAGCACCATAGCAATAATTGTTCCAAGATGGAACATCTGTAACCATACCTTGGGGTACCAAGGGCTTTTGTTTAAATGATTCATTAGAGAAGCATATGAGGCCTACAGCACTTACCAGAGATGTCCTTTTGTGTAGGCTTCACAAAGTCCACCTTTCATTTAGTGAGATGAAAGACTCCTTATTGCTCCATAAAAATTCACTGCAGTGTTGTTCCTCAACTGGGAGTGTGTCAGTATACAACTCCCAAGAGAGCTGGCTGAGAATGCTTTAAGCAGATATATTTTGAGAGCATCAAATTCTGAGGAAGGCTATATTATAGCCAAGGGATACGATGGCTCAGTGATTAAGCCACTGGAGCTCCAGTTTGAGACCTGAGTATCGTGTGACAGGGTGAGCTCTTGTTACTTGCTAAATCTAGCAGTTCAAAAGCATGCAAATGCGACTAGATAAATAGGTACCACTTTGGTGGGAAGGTAGCAGCATTCTGTGCCCTTTGGCATATAGTCATGCTGGCTACATGACCACGAAATTGTCTTCAGACAACGCTGGCTCCCTTGGCTAGGAAACGGAGATGAGCATCACTTCCTAGAGTTTGACACGACTGCACAGGAGAAACCTTTACCTTTACTTTATAATCCCCTGTAAAGGTTTTGCACAGGATTAATCCTAATGCATAGTGTTCTGACCCAGCTCCCAAATATGATAAGCATGCTGTTTTTAACTAAACGTTCCCTTTATTAGGAGTGCCAGCAGTCCCGGCCAAGAGTCTTTCTCTCTCTCACAGCAGGATAATGAAGTCTCTAAGTGCCTGTGGAAAGCGAAGCTCGCTCCCTTTCCCCCTGAAATGGTCCCAATATAGAGAGGAGTCTCTCTTGCTACCCACACTCATAAAGGAAGTCCTGGAAGGTGCGCTCGCTCTTATCCAGCAGCACACATGCATACATACACACACACACACATGCTCTGAAGGCGCGCCCAATTCTCACGCCGCAGATTCCAAGAAAGAATTCCAATAAAGTTCCCGACAGGATTCAGAAGTTCAAAATATCAGTGGCAGAGAGATGAATAGTTGTCTGCCACACCTATTCATCTCTGCCCCCTGCCTTTTATCCCCAGAGCTAGGGTGGGGGCTTAATTAGCAGTGGTGGCTCTTCTGTCCTGAGGACCGGCCCATCTCTTCTGCCTTCTGTGTATCCATGTTCCAGGCACCAGACCCAGCTGTTCCTCCTCTTCCTTATCAGCTACCTCCGGACCTGGGGGCTGTTGCCTCTCCATCTGGGGGCTGATGGACAGCCCAGGCTCTGTCTCTATCTCTGACAGCTCCATTCCTTCTTCCCCCTCGGAACTCTTCAATTGCCTTGATGCTAGTCCCGGCTCCCACTCCGCCTCCTCATCTGATTTGGTAGCTGGAGGGGCCAGCGGCCGACAGGCCACAACACTAGTCCTGCTTATCTTCCATATTATTTTATGGGTCTGCATGCTTTTAAAGTGTATAATTAAGTTTTCTTATCATTCACTTTTCCTGTCAACTTCTTATTTCACTCAATAACTCCAAATCTGGTCAAACCTTAGCCACCTACCTGCATTCCTGCTAGAGCTTGCTGTGCCAGTTTCATATTCTTGCTCTCCAAAGCCAGTTGCAGTGGATGGAGACACTTCTCCCTAGTGGAAGAGAGGTTTCTTTAGAACTCAGAATCAAGTAGCTAATATTTTTATAGTTTCTCAAAGTTTATTTTACTTGTACTTTATCCCCATTTGATCCATACATGAATGACAAAAGGAGCGAATGCAGCTATGTTCTTAGCAATCTCTTCGCTGTGATCATTTGTTCAATCATAGACAACAAAATTATACAATTCCTATAGTTATTTTCCTCTTTGGGGCCCCTCTTTGGGGAATAGATCAATAACCCATCTTAACTATGATTCAGCAAGACAAAGTTTGAGCCAGGATTTAAAGCTGAACAGAACATTCTGACAAAGAAATAAAATATCTATCTATAGTTACAGCCCCAAAATGGGTGTGCCAGAAGAAGACTGTTTGTTACATTTGAGTAGAACAGTTTTATAATGCATTTTAGAAAATTAGATGATTTTTTTTAACCCAATGGGGGTCTTCTGACTTCAAAGCTGTTGTTCTCTTCAATTACAAAGAGAAATGATCTCCTTGCCAAAATTCCATGTAACCAGTAATTTCTGCAAAGTTCTTGAACTCTGTATAGTAATATGGAATTCCTTTGTCAACATTTGGATAGGATTTTTCTTTAATGCTTTTGCACAACACAAAAACTGTCTTGGATGATGCCCACTTTTAGTTTATCAAAACAACCCTTTTAAGAATTAGATTCCAGCTTGATATGAATACACTGCAAAAACAGCAGTCGATGTATAATAATCAAATGGAATTTTGCTCCAGCATCCTGATACTCTGCTAAGCGTATGGATAGGCTATTAATATAATTTATATTTCAATAAAGTCAATTTAATTCTCATTTTTTAAGCCTGATAGTGATCAGAATTCAAATACAGTATAGTTTTCATACTTCCTAAAAGTTGGAAATCAGGTTTTTTTAAAGTCATGTATTAAGGGAAATTAGAGATAAGAATACCCACAATCTTGGTCTGTTTTTTTCTTAATACACACATTTTTAATATACATATGAAGAATAATATATTTATCAGGAAAATGCATATCAAAATAATTTGTTATAACAAAAGCATTTATTAGAAAGAAATTAATAAACTTTTACCTTGTATTTTACTAAAACATTTACTAATATACAAAATGGGATGGAACAATGTTGTATTTAAATAAATGTGAAAGCTACAGCAAATTGATTTGGAGAATCCCATAGCAGTATTGACAGCATTGTTCATATGTTAACAGAGAGCAATTCCTCCTAATGTTATAAACATAAATAATAAACAGTCTGCTGTCATTCAATGGTATCAAAGAGGTATGAAAAACAGGTAATTCATTTCATGAAACAATATGGCTCTCTTTGGCCATCAATTTTAGCTAAAAGTCTACTCTATGAGATATAACCAGGCGGAATGGGAATTTATCCATTCTTATTGTCAACATCAACGATAAACCTGGATTACTCAGGCAAAAGCCAAAAGACCCAACATTCAAATCTCTATCCCTACTACTACAAACTTCAATACCCTAACATCTGATTTGTGATGCTTGTAAATCCTCTTAGATATTAAAGTCTATGGGTTGGATTTGAAAGGATAATACAGATGATGATTTCTGACATCGAATATAAAAGCTAAACAAGCAACGAAGCAAAAGCAAAAAAAGTACATTCTGAACACATTTGGAAATTCTAGCTTGATTCTGCTATATTTATTGTGCCCTTAGAAACGAAAATCTCTGTTGCCACTATTATTACTGTATGGCAAATCATCTAGACATCCACCTGGCAAAGGAACAAGTAAATTCTAGTAAAACTGATGTGGTGCATTACAACTAAAATCCACAAATACATTGATTGCCAGAAGACCCTTCAGATACAGATACAACATTTTAATGGATAAAACTGGTTTATTGGTAAACTATGGAACTAGTTAGGTTTGAAAAATCTTGAAGACTATTAGATGGAAGCAAAATGATAGAGGAAATTCTATTTTCCTGTTACCATCTAGTGGCCATCTGAAATGTTTGCCCCTATTGGACCTGAGTACAGTATTATAGTGAAATAGATTAAAAAGCACAACCTAATTCAATTAGTTCTCTTAGCCGAAGAGGTTTTAGCCGAAGCTCTGATTAATGTTATGGGACCTTCTTAATTCCCATCACAGCATTTAGCAACATTAAATACCAATTAGATACTTCTTGTCCTTATCAGCTGAAGTTTTATCACTAATCTCTTCATTCTACACTTTGACCCATCCAATGGTTCAACTAGCTCCAAAATGCTAGAGTTTGAATTTTAACACTTGAATGGAGAATAAAAAACTAAACCAAACAATTCTAAAGTAGGCAAATGAATTATAACTGTAAAATAATTCGGAACTGTAAAATGGACAAATGAATTATAGCATGAAATTTCTAAAATCCCAGCCTAGTGGTGGGTTTCTACCAGTTCGCCCCGGATTGGGCGAACAGATAGCGGCAGCAGCAGGAAGCTCCGCCCACCTGCCAGGGAGCTTCTGTGCATGCGCAGAAACATTGTGCGCGTGCGTGAGCGCGTGTGTTCCCTCAAGCGAACCAGTAATGACAGGTTTTGAAACCCGCCCCTGTCTGAGTCCACTTCAATTGACTTACAGAATACAAGTCTAAGAACATATTTGGAAATGTCAATTCCTTTGAATATAATCCAGTTGTAGTTGTTATTATGTCTTTAAAGCAGTGAACAATTATTTCATTCTTCTTACTGAATAAGCATCTTATTTATCATTGTGGCTATATGTACTAGGAGCAAGGAGACTCAGGTTCTACTCTACATTTAGCCATGGATTCCCATAGGGTGACTTTCGGCCAGATGCTTTTTCTCAGCTCAATTTACCTCACAAAGTTGTTGCTAGGGGGGGAAATAGGAGAAAAGATGCTATGGATGCTACCTTGAGCTTTTTTAAGGAAAAGAGAGATATAAGTCTAATAAACAATATGTAATGGATTGTCTGAATTAGTCAGATTATCTAAAGTCAGATTACTTAAAGCTTCAAACCAGTTAAAGTATTTGGAATTAAGAAAGCAGAAAGTAGAAACTGAAACAAACTTAGCAAAAATTATTTTAATAGAAGGCTAACAAAGATTACCAAATCGTCTTGGTAAATGTTAAAGCAATTGAATGGAAGCCATTGTTGATGCATGAAATAAGGACTCAGGGAAAAGAACTTCTAGATGCACAATCCTGGCAGAAACCCAGGACGAAAAACATTAGAAAACTAAAAATGAAGGAAGGAAATCAAATTGTCTTTCTATTTTTAACAACTTGAACCAATTTTACAAAACTTGCACGCAACTTCCATAGCCTTTACCCACCTTCTGCAAAAGCTCAGGCAATCCTTAAAATTGCGTATCCTACCTATTAGAGCAGAAAGATAGTTCTAAACTTAGCTTTTATTGTACAACATAACCTGCATATATAAACCAAAGCAAAAGCAACTATTGACATTCTCTTTTTTTAAAAAAAATCTAGGTAATCTAGAACTACAGTATTAGAAAATGTTGTCCAAAGCTAAAGGGAATGATACAACATTTCAGAACATGATTTTTTTTCATAAGGAACAAATGCCATATGGCTAACAATTATAAGACAAATTCACCATGTAACTGTGGTGTGATAGAGAAAAATTCAGATTTCTTTCTCTTTTTTTTAATCTATTAGAGTCACAGCTAAAAAGGTCAAGAAATAAACTCATACAGAAAATAAGAAATATTGAAATAAGTTCTGCTCTCACACAAAATGGTTATATTTTTATCGGCACAATACTTCCTAGAGAAGGAAATTTCAAATGACTTAGAAGTTATTACCAGTTATGAAGTAAGCTCTCCCCTGATTCTGTTTTAATACTGATATAATAAATTCACCTATGTAGAGAGCCGATTTCATGTAGTGGTGGTTAAGACACCAGGCTAGAAATTGGAAGACTGTGTGTTTTAGTCCTGCCTTAGGCACAGAGCCAACCACAGAGCTGGGTGATCTTGAGCCAGTCAGTTTCCCTCAGCCCTAAGAAGGAGGCAATAGCAAACTTCTTCTAAAGAACTTTGCCAAGAAAACTGCAGGGACTGTCCAGGCAGTCTCTGAGAATAGGACACAATTGAACAGAAGAATATATGTGTGTGTGTGTGTGTGTGTGTGTCTTTTTCTTTTTTCGTAGGCTTTTATGTGCATATTCTTTCTAGCCAGGTTCCACCTACGTAAGCTAAGTTGTTCCTCAGCCCTAATTCTGTGAACTCTCATTCACAAGTTTCTGGGCTTTTTGTATCCTGCTGAAAAGCAACAATTCTGTGCTGCAATTTGGGAGACTCATCTTCCATAAACGCTATTAAGTAGCCACTTTTATCAAAATAGTGGGACAGTATTTCACTTTGTTGTAGATCAGTATCAATCCAGAGAACAGTTCTGACAGGAACTAACAAAGGAAATAACAAAGAAGGAGAGCATGGAAATAACTTTTGAGATATTCTCCATAACCCAAGGCCTTCTAATCATCAGAAATATATCAAAGATATGAGCCTGAAGACAAAAATATATCTAGAACTTCATGACAGATCTCTAATGTTTGCTCCACTGCTTCTATAGTCTTAATCTTGCCACTGTTATTATCTAATAACATTTTCATGTTTCCCAAAGCTTGTACATCACTTAAGTTCATGCATGATGCATCATTATCTATAACACTATTATCATCATTATCAATAACACTATTGATCTGTTTATGGCTTAATGTGTTGTATGAACTGTGACTGAAAGCTATGGTTTATGAATAAGCCTGGCCAACATTGGTTCATTCCACACACTAGGATTAAACAATATATTAACCAAGTCATTTTTTTCCTAAGCAAGAATGAAGCATTGGTGTTTACTTTCAAACAATTTATTAGAAAGAGAGGCATAATTCATCATCTCTTCTGAGCTTTTAATTTCATCTATTTCCATTTCTTTACATATTTTGTGGCCTTTATAGACTTTCATAAGGTTTGGACCATGGGGATTTTGTAGAATTGTTCTTCTCTAATTATGGAATTACTATTACCAAAACAAGCAATAACAATGTGAATTAACAATGGCAGCACTAATTGGGATAGCACTGTAATGCACTTCACAAGGGCACTTTAAAAGCTTCTAAGTTAATACCTTCATTTCTTTTCTCCTTCTCCCATTACAATAGGTGTGATGTTCTTGTTGATTTTGGGAGCTGAGGTTTTACAGAATTTGGGGGAGAGAAAAAGAATGCCCTGGCAACTACAAACACAGTTCATCATATTTCAAGCAATCTATGTACCTAAGCATTGTTGAGCATCTCAGAACCACAAATACATAACAATGGTGAGAAAATAGAAAATTTGGCCAATGGGATAATTTGCTTTTATCTTTAGTTCATAGCAGTGCTATACTGATTTCAAGAGTCAGCAAACATAAAACAGAAAAGACTTTCACTCTTTCATTTCAAATGTCACTCATAAGCAAAGATTTTTTTAAAAAATATATTCCTTACCTTAACTGATAAGGAGGGATCTTGGTAGTATCATCCAGAGATTCTAATGTTTCTGGGTAGAAAAGGGAGAAGGAATTATTTCAGAAAGCATTCAGCATAGAGTTGAAAACATACATCATTATATATAGTTTTATGCAACTTGAAGTCCCATCTTACTCAATCAGGATTATCCCATATTAAAATTGTTCAAGTTGTACACTGCAAGTGCATTTATATGTAGATTGACATGGGCAGGTATTGAAGTGTTCAGAACTAAATTAAAAGCACCTTTTCCTCAATAAATTATTTTTATAGGTTCTGTTCTTCCTCTTCTTTAGGCCTGTTTTTTTTCTTGGTAAATTCCCTTTCCATATGGTACAATAAGATATCTCAAATCTTGTCTCTTTATCTTAAATAACATCATTTCCTAACTTCTAAATGAATTTATTATGCTTATGTAAATAAATGCACATGACTTATTGTTTAATTAATGTAACAAACTCAAATCTTAAAATAAATAAAAGTACAGTTTTATGATCCAAGCATAGTTACTTTTTATTGTTTGAATCAGAAGGTTTTACAATACTTATTTAATCTGTACTGAACAGGAGCCATTATTTAAAGCCCTCCCTACCCTATTTTTCTCCAACTGCTAAGTAAAAATAAAATAATCCATCCTATGGATAACCCCATTCCTAGCTCTGAAAAAAAAGTGCATTATTTTAGCACAAGTTGATGCAAGGATACCTAATTTATTTTAAAACCCCAATAGTGTAAACTTCTTAAATATATTTCAAGGAGTACTTTAAAAAGACTATTACTCTATGTATGAATAGCAAAAGCAAAACTATCAACCATTTAAAGTTATAAAAATAGTGAAGCAGCCTAGCATAGATCCATACCTGACTCTGGATTCTTCCCCAAATCCCCAAAACGTTAACCTTAGACTGTCTATTGTAGACCTCACCCCATTCCTAAGAGGTCTGTAAGGGGCGTGCATAAGCATCCCTGTCCTAATGTTTTCTTTTATTCGTATTCTTTTCATTTATTTATAATTATGTTTACACTTGTATGTCATAAAATACATGCTTGACGAAATAAATAAATTAAATAAATAAATAAGAACAACATGCACATTTATATAGCATACCAAATTTATGTCGTCACTAAAGAAAGCATATATTGATAAAAAGGTGGGAACCTCTTTAACCTACATTGTAATATCATGTTTGATCATTGTCTAATCAGAATGTCTTGTGTTGCAGATTATTAGAGGCCTGTGTATGTATGTAAAATGCATGTTAAAAGGGGGGGGGGCAGGGCTTTGACTGACATTTTAATTTCCTCCTTGCAGATATCATCACGAAATAGCTTAAATAAAGCTGTTGGCAGAATAATAAATTACTAGGCCCTTACAGGAGATTAAGCCAGTGACTTTATAATCCTGATCTATTATTGTTACCATTTTCCTTCTAATATTCATTACCTGCAGAAATGCAGATTGCAGTAACATCCCTGCTTGGTTTATTGTGATCTATAAGTGTCACTTATAGATCACCAAACAAGAAAAATGGTTTAAAAACAAACAATCCCAAAGGGACTGTAGCAATAGATTAAGTGTATGTTTCATTAAAGGAGAAAAAAAATATACAGTATGTTTCTACAGCTAGAAGACAATGGCTGATTGTTTGCCAGGCTGGCCTGCTGCCAGATGCCAATTATTAATAGGCCCTGCTATTGCCATTCTACGGGGTTTTGACGTGTCAAGAGGTCTTGGACAACCTTTGAAATATAAAAATTGCCCTCAAAAAGTCCTCTGTGATAGTTATTTCATCAGAAAACTGATTCTTGCAAGGGAGGATACATGGATACTCTGAGTACCCCAACACTTGTGACTGGCTAAATTAAATCAGCATATAGGTAGTCCTCAATTTATCAGCATATAGGTAGCCCTCAGTACCATTTGTTTAGGGGTCATTTAAAATTACGATGGTGCTGAAAAAAGTGACTTATGACTAGTCCTCACGCTTACAGCCATGGCAATATCGCTGTGGTCACGTGACTGCAAACCAGGATCTTGGCAACCGGCTTGCATTTACCATGGTAGCAGCTTCCTGGGGTCCTGTGATGGCTATTTGTGACCTTCCCAGTTGGCTTTCGAGGAACAAAGTCAATGGGTAAGCCAGCAGGGAAAGTCACAAGGAAGTCATGTGATGTCTCACTTAACAACCTTGACAGAAAAGGTTATAAAATTGGGTGCAATCAAATGATGTCTCACATAATGATTGCTTAGCGATAAATTTTCCTGTCCCTACTGTGGTCATAAGTCGAGGGCAACTTGTAGCATTTTTCTGTTTTTAATCACTTTCCTACGGGGGCTTGACAACTTCTGCATCTTAGGAGCACAGCCAGTTAGGCCTAATGGTTAAAGCCAGGCCCTAGGAGCAGGGACACCCAAGTTCTAGCCCTGCCTTAAGCACGGAAAGCAATTGGTGACAGACTTGTTGCCCAGAATATCAGAAGTAACAATTGACTCCAAAACAAAACAACAACAACCACCCAGCTTTAGAATAAAGAGGTTTTAAAAGAGCTAAAGGAATAAGCCTTAACACAATAAGAGTACATGGGAATTTACTGCAGCCTTAGAGGTGACTGTAAAAATATACCAGAGTATTTTTTCAAGAGGCAACTGGACTTTCCGGTTTTTCTTTGAAGACCTTTAGCTTCTCATCCAAGAAGCGTCTTCAGAGCTGAAGAAGCTGTTTGGATGAGAAGCGAAACGCTTTCCTGGAAATAAAAAAAAAAAGCACCTTTGGGACAGCCATGACCTGGATGGCTGAGAATCTCCGTAGCCATATGGTGGAGTAAATACACCGGAGATGTGGGCGGAGGGGAGCCCATCGCCTGGAGAGCGGAGCGAAGAGATGGACGCGACGCAAAAGCGCATTCACAAACCGCACAAAAACATCCCAGCCCCGGGTTTTTAAAGGCAGATAACGGGAGGGGAAGATGCAGCTGGCGCAGACGGTATCGGAAAGGCAGCCGAGGAAGAGCGGCTTTCCTTTCTGGCGCGGAGGAGGAGAAGGGAGGAAGAAGAGGGAAGGTGCCTGCCTGCCGCCCGCCGCTCGCTTCCTTACCGCTGGCCCAGGTGCAACTCTCCTTGATCGCCTTGTATTTGCTCCCCGACGCTTCCTTCTGCAGCTTCTTTAGGATTTCTTCCATCTTGCCTGCCTTTTCTTGCGGCGCCCAAAGGAAAAGGGAAAGTCTCCGGGCCGGGGGTGGGGGGGTGCGGCGAGAGGATCGGCGCTCAAGCGCTACATCGGGGTTGCGCGCAGCATCTGAGCGGCAGCTGTTGATGAATCATGCTAAGCTCGGGGATCGGGGGGGGACACGTCACTCGGCGCGCTCCTGCCCCTCCTCGCCCGGCAGAGGGCAGGCGGTGACGGCAGCTCCCAGCGGTGGCTGCCCAGACCTCCAGCCACAGCGCCACCAGCGGGAGGGTGGGGCGGACGGGTTGCCGAGGGGCAGGACGGGGAAGCCGGCGTGCGCTTTGCTGACGTGGGGGACCCAGCCGTTCAGTTTTACGTACCAAACGGCGCTGGGTGAATCAGACTTGCTATGGTCCTCTCTAATCCAGACATCATTTCCACACACACACACCCCAATGTTAACAGCGTCATGGTGAATTGCTGTCGCCTCAGAATAAAAAGAGCGCCACGGATCCAAAATACTGCAGCAGAAATCTCTTTTTTTTTCTTCTCATTTTGGCAAAAGCAATGGTGGGTTATATTCCCAGGGGCAAATAGAAGGCATGCCGACATGCTTAGGAACACACACAGCCCTAAAGGAGAGAACCAGGAGAGTTAAATAATAATCTAAATAATTTAAAATTATAATGGGAAAGCTTGCCAAGCTCTGCAATGGGTAGTTTTAAGCAATTGTTTAATTTGGGCAGGCAAGAGTTGATTGGCGATAGACTCATTTGATGAATAAACAGGTTTTTGAGAATGGAAGAGAGGAATAGAAATAGAAGGTCCGTGCGATTAAAAAAAGGCATCCTGTCACCTCATAACCTGAACCATAATATGGAAAGGTTGGGTGAGCATCTAACAGTTAATTCGTTGCCCAATGTAGGAATATGCCTACAATATTACCTAGAACTACACAGAATCCAAATGAAACCACAAAGACCCAATTCTTCCAGCTGTACTCTCCAACCACTCCCCATACGTTCTCACTATTCAATGAGATGTTTTTCCTCAGAAAAAATAGATCATTTTTTAGAGATTTATAGTGTAGGGAAAGCAACTAGGAGAAAAATATTGGCCTGATTGATATATCTCACTAAATCACAACTGTTCTGGCTTAATAAGCTTTGTGTACCCAGTGTTGGCCTTTTTGCAAATCATGCAGTTGAGCAAATCCAGCCATCTGTGATTTCTTCAAAGGGGAGGGAGCATCCAGGCCTTACGTCTGCTTCTGTGGAGCTACTGAAAGATGGTGAATAAATCTTTGCTTATTGGGAGAGGTTTGCTGATGATGAGTACTTAACACAGTGGATGCAACCTCCAAATTTAACCAGGAGTATACTGAAATCTACCAAGTAGATATTAAGCATGCAAGAATATGAGGCCTCTTGAAGAATAGGAGTGGCCACAGTCTAGTAGCAAAGCTTAGTTGGATATTCTGATCTAATATGACTATTGGCTCATTATTAAAACAGATTTAAAAAATTTATTGTGTGTCATAGTGATTTGGCATTCTAATCCACCACTGAGAGTATAGTTCTAAGAATGATTTTGCAGCAGGTCTTTATAGGTGCTGCATCCAGTACTTAAAAATATAGAATGAGTTACTAAATTTCTGGATATGTCGTTTTGTGTTTTTAATAGCTGGAACAAATTGGCAGCAGTTGGTCAGAAGCAGCCTAATTTCCTGGGTCCATTTTAGCATCTCCACCTCCATATTAGCTATGCATACATTCACAACAATATCTGCTAACATTTTATATAAAATATAATAATCGTAAAAGAATCAAACCAAAGAACTGGCCTATGGATAATTAAGAACCTGGATATCCTAAATATTAGTTCCAAGACCAAGTAATCAGAGGTACCTTAAGGTGCAATTTTCCTTTCTTGATTAATAGAGTTATTCTCCATTCATTTTCAAAGTCTTGTGCAAGTTTCCACTGACTTCAATAAGGCTTATTCCCAATAAATGTATTCAAACCAATGTCTTAAAAAGGCAATATGATTATGATGTCCATTACTATTTCTTGAGGTAATTAATTCCCTTGTTTGATTGTGTGCTATATAAAAAGTACAATTTCTGAACTGAACCTCCCATTGATTTCTTAAATCGATTTAAATGATGAATATGTGCTATTTAAGAAATCTTACACAAAATTAGCCAAGCAGAAGAGATATTAAATTTCATAGTGGTTGCATTTATAGTATTGCCCGTAACAGCATCATAGATTCAGATAGATTAAAAAGGCCATTGGATCAAACCTCCTGTTCAGCACAGGAATCAGATTAATGCATCCCAGACAGATGGCGATCTAGCTTCTCCTTGAATACTTCTAATGAAAAGAAGCACAGAACCTCTTTGGATAATTGCTTCCACTGTCATCTGCTCTCATTGTTAGAATTTCCCCACTAACATTCCATCAGAATCCATTTTCCTGTAATTTAATCCCATTGTTCTGTGTTCTGCAGTCTGGAATGAGAGATAACTTCTTCACCTTCTTCTATGTGACGTACTTCCAGTTGCTTGGACAGTAATATTCAAATTCAAATTCAAAATAAAATTGATATCAAATACTACTTAGAGCAGGGCTGTCAAACTCATGGCCCAGGGGCTGGATGTGTCATGTGCTGGCCATGCCCACACACGGTTTAGCAAAGGGGAAAAAAGTTGCGATACGTCATGAGTGATGATGCGAGTTTGACACCCCTGACTTAGAGCCAGTTTGATCAAATAGTTATGGCATCTGTCTGTAAACCAGGAGTCGGTGAGTTCTAGTCCCCACTTAGCCATGAAAAACCAGCTGGGTGACTTTGGATTAGCCGCTTCCCTCTCTCAGCCCAACCCACTTCACAGAATAGCAATAGCAATCTCACTTAGACTTATATACCGCTTCACAGTGCTTTACAGGCCTCTCTAAGTGGTTTACAGAGTCAGAATGGTGGTTGTTGTGAGATAAATAGGAGAAGTAAGATGTATTAGCCACATTGAGTTTTTTTAAAAATAATAAAGCAGATATAAAATAAATATCTTATTCATCTTTTCTTAAAATAAATTCTCTCCATAAGGCTTGGTTTTACAGATCTCTGAGCATCTCTACTGCCTTTCTGTAAACTTATTTCAATTTCTCTGAATAAAAATGGGGTGTTCAGAACTATTGATCACAGTACTCAAGGACTGGGCTGAACCAAAGCAGATTCAAGTGAAACAATTATTTCTTATGATTTGGAAATTATATTTCTGTTGATGTTGCCCAAAATTTTATTATCTTCTTTGCAGCCATATCATACTATATGGCTCATATGCCGTTTATTATTATTTAAATTTGTTTTACTTTTGCGAATAATCAAATGCCTGCAAGAACGTTCTCCAGATCTCTGACCATGTAGACAGATCAGATGCAACCCATATCATTCGGATAAATAGCTCCTATCATATTTCAGTAAGTAATTTTAATGATTCAGTTGTTTATAATTGTGAGTCTGAAAAGGAAAACAACCAGAAAAAAAATGTCTTCTCCAACTTTATTTATTTAGGACACGTGCATTCTCCAAGGTGTTTATCGCTCAAGAAGTACTTTAGCAAATAGTAGGGATAAACCATCTTCACAACTTGTAAGAATATTGCTCAGCTGTACCTCCTAAAATAATTCAGCATTTTAACCCTCCCATTCCCTCATATTTGTATCTTCTGCCCTCTAGTGGTTACATATATTGATATTTATTCAATTTCTTAGCAATGTAGACTAGGATAGTGAAGATGCAAGTAGTGTAATTGGATAAAAAGACAAATTACTATATAAAGGCTAGTCAGTTATATTGAAAAGGAATAAATCATCAATACATCTGGAAAAAAAAACACTCTCACCAAGAAAATTGCAGAATTTGTCCAGGGATTCTCCAACAGTCAAACATGATGGAATGGGGGGTGGAGGGTGGGGAGGAATAGCTAAAGGCAATAAGGAAATGAAGCTAAGTGAGTGCAGTCATACAGCTGAGAAGCCAAGGCCTCTGTTTCTCCTATGCATGTGTAGGAAGTTAGCACCCACCCCTCTCCTGGAAGAGTGAAATATTTTAGGAAATATGAAAAAGGCAGAATATTATATTTCCCTGGGATAAGCATGTTTTGAAGCAGCTCCCATCTTCCTGCCCCCCCACCCTTTGTCAATGGGCCATTAAGGCTTGGGCCAGTCTATTCTACATAACAAAGATCTACCTCCTTCAGGCAGAGCCATAGTAGGAATTGCGAAAGATAGGATTAGCCCTCTACACAATAGCAACAGAAACTAACACAATGGGACCTATCTAGACGAGGCTCACCACATGGCACCTGGGAAGATTGCATCAGCCAGCAAGACCCCCACCCCCTGGGAGTCTGACAACCAATCAGGATACTCTTTTGTGGCCCCAAGAAATGCAGAGCCAGAGAGAGCATAAAAACCCGAGGATTTACTGTATCTGCCCTTTTCTGTTCAGGAACTCAAGCCATGTGATCCTGTCCACCATTAAACCATCTTTCCAAGCAGTCTCCATGTTTCCAGTGTCTGTTTTCCCCACTTGGAGCAGAACCCAGAAGGATGTTTCTTCCAACACATGTAACAGAGAAACCTCTGTTTGCTAGTCGTTGAAGTCCCCTCTTCATCATCCAGCATCAGAGATTTGCCAGGCAGACACCTGTACTGAAGCACCACAAGTAGCTTTGACATTGGTGGAGACATTTACTGCACCTCCTTGGTTGCCCAGCTCAGTGTTTTTCACCTTGGATACCTTCCAGAAGTTTGGTGTTTAAGGAATATTTTTGTTTGCCAGTATAGAAGGGGAAGATCCAATTGGAGGCAGGCATATAAAAATTCAAGAATGTCCTGTCATGATTATCTGACAGCATATAGCAAGGACAGGATATAGCAGATGTCTTTCAAAGATAATAGGAATAAGTTGCATGGATTCTGCCACTCGTGTAGCAATGGCACTAGGTGGAAGGTGGCTATTTCTATACCATAATTTTAAAGTAATGTGAAACTGCAAATTCTAGAATATCTGGATGATACAATAGGTGAATCTTGTTTTACACTAATTCATGTGGACATCTCCTACAGCTGTAAGCTTGGTGGAAGAAAAACGAGAACCTCAAATAGGAGTGTGTTGGAAAAGGTTAT